AAAAGCTCTTTGTGGAGTGTTACACGGACCGCCATTGACGTGATAATTGAATTAAGAATATCATGACACCATTACCGCTGAAACCGAAAGTAAAAAATGATTTGAGAAGATTGAGATTTTGTCATATCAGGCTTGACGTAAATAAGCTTTTAGGCTTAATATATGACGGTCTGAAAAGCTGTCAAATTGTCCTAAACTTCCAAATACACAAATCTACATCTACATTTATTTAAGTCCATCAAAGGGGGTACCCATCACAGATAGACTGTAAATCCACAATTATATACTGTGCTAAGATACCGTATTAAAGTAGTTTAGTGAGCGCCTAAGATGCAATGTAATCAGTCATTACCTTAGGAAAGCGTTTCTTGATGAAACCTGGATCACAAATCGAAGCCAAATCGAACGACATAGTTTTATAATTTCCGTTTATTTTCAGCTACAGTCCCGTAAATACTATATCGCCGTCCAAGCCCCTTCTCCTATTTTTATGGCACAGGGCATCCAAGTGTAAAAAAATCAGGTGAAAAAGACACTTTCTTGTTCCACATACTACGTCAAGACTCTGCCAAAAATAAATGATTGATCAGTTTTTATCGGGGAGGGGTGTAACGGTGGGGGGGTAGGGGAGGTCATTGTCATTAGGCTCAAGGGGGCGTGGGGAAAGGCAGGGCACTAGTAAAACTTAGAGTCACAGATCATTAAACACAAAAGCAAAAGAGTGTCCATTTCATTAATGATTTCTTGTATGGGTTGTCAATCCTACTGCTCCACCCCCTAGTCACCCTGATAAAAATGCCTTAAATGCAAACTGCCTTTTTCAAAGCTCTCTAGAGTCAGAATGGTGTGGTGGTAAAATTGCTCACCTCTCATCTCTGATGTCCAGGGTTCATATCCCAGTCACCCCATGTGAGTAGAGTTGTTTGGTTCTCTTTCTGGCTCTGAGGGTTTTTCCTCCCTCCTTTCAAATCAACCCTAATTTAAACTGGTTTGAGCTGCCATCCAGGGTCATACATGGACTGTATAGCATCTGCCAGAGGCACCTTCACATGCTTCCACCCCCCTTTGAGATTCATACTTGACCATGTTTTTAATTAATTTTTTTCTGGTCATCAGTTGATACCAGTTTAATAAAGTTGTCACTATTTCAAACACAAGCAATCAAAACCATGTTCTTCTGCTATCCTTTTACTGTACACACTTTACATTACTGATTAGGAGTATATATCATATTAGAATGAATGAATAAATAAATTTATGAATTAATAGCTAAAAATCACATTTAATATCTGTATAGAATTGGTAGGGCAAATGGAACATGACTGTGACAAAGTTATGGATGAACTTGCTGTGGTGTAACCATGGCAATGTTTTCATGAATTCTGATTGGTTCAGCAGCAATTATGCACTGCGGATATCAAAAATCAGTAGGTGTTGTGTTTAATAAGAATCTATTTCTCTGCAGTTGTGTCAAAGAAAGTACTAAAAGTTTGCTATTTTCTGGACCACAGCTGTTTATCTTATATACGTTGTTTTTATAATCCCATTACTAATACACAATGACAGCCTGGCTTCCTTTGGTTCACGTCATGCCATACAGAAATAGTGGCAGACTGTCAGTACACTGATTGTATTTTATATCTTGTCCTATTTAAGATCATTCAAACAAAGGTTTGATTGGAGGAATTCTATGTATTTTCATCATCACTTTTCTTGTCAAAGTCAGATTGTGTAGCTAAGCTAAGGTCATCAAAATTCTGGAAATTTAAAAAGGACAAAAATGAGTGAGCATTATTTGTACCTTTGAAAAAAAGCAACAGATTAAAAACTATTTAAAAAATTGACATTTCATATAGGAGGGCGGCAAAAAAGTTATCCTGGTCCCATAGGTTTCTCATAGTTTTTATTTTCTCCGTAAAATGGAGAGAAAAACAAAACTACGAGAAACCTCTGGGACCAGGGTACAAAAATTAGTTAACTTGCTTTAACTTCTTAGATCTAAGGCTTGATTGCTGCACTAAACATCACATATGAGTAGAGTTCATTAGGTCTCTCCCTGAATTTGAGGGTTTTTCAGACTCTGGGTTATTTCAGAATCTATTAATGATTATTACTTATAATTAATCTTATAGTACACTCAACAAAATTACTCGACTCTGATTGGTCGAGAGGAGTACAATTATAGCGTTAATTGTACTCCGTAGGAGTACCGAATTAAGTCGCTATGGCAACACGGCCAAAACAATGTCAAAACAATTATTTTCTATCATTTTGTACTTAAAAAGCATAAATAAAATTTCAAAGCCGTAAGAACTAATCTTTTTTATGCATTTCAGTTGCGCGATGGACTGGAAATCGGCCGCCAAATAGACAAAGATGAACGGCATCGCTTCGCATTTTTTACTGAAATTTTGTTGAGTGAACTATAAACAAAAAATCGCACGATCTTCTCGTACAATTTGGAATTAATAGACACTCGTAATGTTTTGAAAGTTCTTGTAATTGCACGAGCCTTTAGGCATGTCTATTAATTTCCAAATTGTACTCGAGATTGTGCGATTTCCTATACTAATTATACCTCTAATTCTTGCATAACCATATCCATAAAATCTGTAGAATTTTCTTTGTACTGTACTCCTAATTTAATTGCTTCTCTGAATACCTGAAGAATGAAATAAAAAGCCTTCACTCAATGTGCAATAAGACTTTTTCTTTTATAATTGCTGACTTTCTCAAAGCCGAGGTGTTTGTCCCATAGACATTAAGAGTCCAGTCATCAATGTTTCGTACATATATTAGATCCTTTGCCTTTATATAAACGCACTCTTGATAATGACATTGGTGAGTGTCAAAATGTCAACAAAACTTTAAGTCATCATAAATTTTGTTCAAAAAAGGTTGAAAAAAAAAATTTGAATATTACTGAAATTTAAGGGTGATGTGATTTTCTTGAAAGAGTAAGGCCTAGGGCAAACCTCGAACTTTCCATGCACCAAACTTAATTACATCAAAGAATGCCGCCTCATTATCACCTGATATCCATTGTTTTTAAAGTGTATATGACACGAAAACATTCCATCATTTAAAATGTATAGTTTGTTAGTAATAATAAATATATCGTAACAAAATTTGTTTCAAAAGCTTATTTCTTGAGATATTTGCGAAAGTTAATCCCAATTTGTGACGTCATTTTGTTGACACGTACTCTAGATTCAGTAGTAATGTACTAAATGTAAATTGTAATTCATATAAATTAATAACAAAAGACATATTTTAGTCAGCTTCATTTGATAGCTTACGTAGTACTCTTCCAATGTTGGGAAATTGAAAAGTGTACTACTTGAAATTAAGATTCTATATTCAAACATATTTCATGTATTTGCAACTAAATCTGGAGACTTGTAAACAAAATGACATCACAACTCGTGCTAAAATTTTTTGAATTTCTAGAGAAATACGTTTTTGGAACAAATTTAACCGTGATATTCTTATTAATGCCAATAAACTACATATTCTTAACATTAAAATTTTTTCGTGTCATATACACTTTAATGAGTTCGGTGCATGGAAAGTTCAACATTTGCCTTAGGCCTAAGGTTTTTATTAAAAATAATTCTGGCCCTTAGTATGGTGAATCGATTTTCAAGTAATTTAGCTGTGATATATTTGTGTAGTAGAAACAATTAAAGAGAGAAAAAGTTAGTAGATTCCATGTGCTTACTTTGACAACATTCGTTCCATCGGATGCAGAAACAAAGTAGAATGGTAAGCCATATTTTTTAGGGAAATTGAAAGCTTTCTGAGTTACTTTGTAATCAACTGTATAATTTTAAAAAAGGGAAACATTAAGGAAAACAAACAGAAAAATAATAATTGGTATTTATCATATCAAAATTAAACAAGGTAAAAATGACAGGATAAGACCTTTCTTACATTTGCAAGCTTGCAGCCATTGTTTAGTCAATCAAAAATAGAAGGAAAAACAATAACATAAATAATTGTTTTCAATTGGTTAATTGTTATTTTAATTGCCAACCAAAAATCTATTGGATAATCCGCCAAAGCATTAAAACCTGTTATTAAAACAATACATAGATTTATAGCTTTATCAATCTCAGTTTTGTGTACACCTACTGTTAGCCTTTCCGGGGTTGAGGGGAAAACTGAGTGGAGTTGGCAATGAAGTGCATTTTGGGACTCTTTTTGCAGACAAAATACAGTAGCTGAGGCCRTATATTGGAAATATGTCCCCTAAAACAGCCCCAAAATGCACGGCAATGTCAACTCTACCCATAGTTTTTCCTGAACGTCATATTGGCTAACAGTTATATTTTTGATCACTAATATTAATAGTCCAATTTAAAAAGGATACCATCTATCTTATTAGCTACTACGATGCAGGGTATGGAATCTCTATATTGCCGCAGTTCCTTGTACCAGTTGGCTAAATTCTTGTAAGTTATTTTCCTTGTTATATCGAATACCTGGAGTGAAACAAAATAAAAACAAGTTTACATGTATGTTACGTGTATATACTGACAGTATGTCACTGATTCTGATAGGTAAGATATGTAAAATGACATGGCACACAGAATAATAATCTTTGGTAAATACTGTTGATAATCAATGTACATTATTTGTTTGGGTCAGATTTCCCATTTTAGACCACGCATCTTTCTCTTGAGAATAAGATTCTTTGTTTGAGTTGTATTCAATCATATCCATTTGTCTTATGCACAACTCTTAAACAAAGAAATAATTCTCTAGAAAATGACACATGGAGAAAATGGCAAAACAAGCTATACTATGTCTATTGATGATATCCAATATAGTAATCAGAGATAATTGCCTAGGCAATATATGCAGTCACATCAGGGTTTTGACTTATAGCCAATGTGCAAGAGCACGGATCTCTAGCACAAAGCATGATGGGAAACCAAGTAACATGAACCATAACATGGAAATCAATAGTATTTGTTTTTTATTCTTTATTTAAATACTTAAAATTGTCAGCTGAATTTTTAGAGGAGCTGAAAAAGCATAAGTACTTGGTTTACTATTATGCTTTGTGCTAGAGATCCGTGCTTGTGCACATTGGCTATTTTCATTAGTTTAAAGATAGTCAAATAAAGATATTGTGTTTGACTTACCAGTATGCAAGCATGAGCTTGATGATAGTAGGAGGGATGCATACTACTAAATCTTTCCTGTCCTGCAGTATCCCAGAAATCTATAAATCAAAACCAATAGTATTATATGAGAGCAAGTTAAGCATTTCACAGTATTTAAATTACAGTTAAGTATGTACTAGTAGGAAACAATCATATACTTAAAGCAATAAAAAATGGCTACTTCAAGATTTGTATTGTGATGTAAAATATATATTTATTCATAAACATTTTGAGAGCTTTAGAGCAATGCCTTGAAAAGTAATAGTAACTAAACCTTGCGTTTCTAAGCTTACTTTTCTCCTGTTCTACAGTTCCCAGCATGTTTACATGTATCAAAGTACAGAGACATATTAAGCAGCCATTTTATATGGCTTTAAGTAAATGATTACTACTTACCAACATTGACATCCTTATCATTTACTTTTGTCTTATACTGGAACAGTGTTAATGCGTATGTTGATAACTGTTGGGGTTTACTGAGATTGTGGTCAAGAAAATAAGATATTATAGACTGCATTATAATATAGTCATCACACTACACATTCTCAGGGTCTTCATAGAAGATTTAGATTTAAGATTAGTACACCTACAGTATTTAACCTAGAGTGCTTTTTTAACCTTATGAATACCTTTTTCAATCTTTTTTCACATTATTTGAAGCTATATAAATTACTATTCTAATGCAGAGAAAAAAATTATATTATCCATAACTAAACACCATCTGCTGCTTACTTAATAATTTTAACTTACTACTGAGTATCATACATTCATGGAAAAATTAAATAGCTTTGTCTGGAAGACTTTAATAAAAATATACGTTCAAATATAAGCTTATCTTGAACAAGATCTCATGCTTATGAAAAAAGACAATTCATAAGAAAGAAAATGCATTATATAAAAACAATAAAACGAATCAATATAAGACATTTATTCTTCGTATCCTTAATATTGGTTTATTAGATCTGATCTAATTTTTCCTCCTATTCCTATTCCTATTTGGCATATTTTCATTTGTTTTTCGCAAATCTTATAAACATTCACCAAATACCAATTAATGTTTAAACAAATCTACCAGCCTTATGCTAAAGCTTTGATACAAAAATAAAGAGTTACTTTATAAAGGATATCCTATGTATTATCATAATCCATTGCTGGAAGGCTAGATTAGTAATTAACCGTTCAAAAATACGTATTTTCAAGCTTGTAGTAGCAATATTTTGTTTTAAATTTTCATAACAGGTTGACTTGCGGGCGTTTTGCGCGATGAAAAACAAACCTCGCCCCTGAAAGACTAGATTAATGGTCGATAGGAATAAATAGGACTCTAAAATATCTTATTTTACGGGAAAAGGATACTATCCGTCCATAAGAAATCGTTCAACCAGCCTAAAAGAAACCATAAGAACGAAGATCAAAAATTAAGCCGGTTACCAACAGTCTCACAGCAAAATATACCCAACGAACAATAACACCAGAAAAAAAAAGCACCGTTACTTACTTAGACTTCCCTACAGCACTGTCTCCCAAGCAGATAATCTTAACAGGGCGGTCTTTGTCCTTTTTACTTGACGTTTCTTCGTCTAGATTTTCTCCCTCTTGGTCTTTAGCCGCCATTTTGAAAATCACTTCCTGAATATCCCAGAATGCATCCGGATCTTGAACCCAAGCGACTCGCTTGAACGTTGCTAGGGGCAACCCTGTAAACAAAATCTTTCCCGCAACTTTTTTAAATATTTCATTTGTATTGAAGAAATATAAAACAGCTTTTCGTGTTTTCATCTATCGACGACTTTCTATTTTCCTTTCTTATATCCTGTATTAGAATTTTGTTTTTCTCTAATCGATATGGTAAATCAAAAACTAAGCCCGGCACTGTCTGTAAACACGGAATTAGGATAAAATTTTTTACTGCTTCAGGGCGAAGACAGTCTTCGTATTGGCTTTGCCGAGGAAAGGCGATAACGTTAAACTCAACTATATTAAGCTGAGTAATCATGAGAAAATTTTCAAGTTTCAAAGTGCCAGGAAGAGGCTTGGGTCGTTCGTACAGATAGTAGATAAAATTATCAGTGGAACCGTCGGCACATTATACTATACATCAATCTGATTGGACAAGGATTTATTTATAGATGGACTCCAATATTAATTTCCCCTGGTTCATAGACAGACCGGATAGATTCACCTCAACGTGGTCAAAATAATAACATTAAATTTACTTTAGAACGGACATGGCTCCTTATGCCGCCTCCAAGTAGACACTTTAAATACGGTTATTGGAAATAGATCCATTGAGATATCTATACTCAGAAAGAAAACGCACAAAGATCAATATCTTCAGCTTCAGTTTTCCAAACACCATCCGACCCCCCACAACATATTAAAAAGCAGCTGTTGTGCTAGCCTGTGTTCAGCCTCTTCCCACCCCTCCCCCAACGGGGGAAAATGTAGGAGTCGGGTGTTTGGACTACTGTTGTGTGTGAACACAAGTGTGCACCTGGTTTTCAGACAGTTTCTGGGAAAGATCATTTAGTGAGGTTAGCACACGTTCACACGCTTCAAAAGGACGGCCGCGATTAATATGCAATTTGTCAAATGATTAGCATATTTTTGATTCGAATCGAGTACCTCTCTGTCCTACATGGTGATAACTCCCAGGGAACCCGCAACTGCGTGGTTAAATGTACGATACACTGATCGAAACTCTTGTGTTTTCATGTTTATTTCTCGTCAAATTTCCTTTTGATATAAATTTCGGGCATCTACATGGCGTAAATGGAATGAATTTAATGGAATCGACTGAAATTTTCCTTCCAAAATCATAAGTGTCCTTTTGCATGAGTGTTGTGATCTTCGCAAACCTCGCTACCTCGTACTCCTTCACACGCTTCAGAGGGACGTCTTCTGTCGATGTAATTCTAAATTAAGCTCACTTTCAGTTTGGTGTCCTCTTGAGTGTTGCGATCTTCGCAAAACACGCACTCCTACGCACACTTCAGAGGGACGCTGCTATTTGCAGAGAATTTTCTAAATCAGGCTATCTAAAGAAATCCTGTAAAAATATGAAGTTGAAAAATCACAAATATGAGTAAATAGTATTTGACTAGCTTAACAAACTTATTGATAACTTATTGATCGGCCATGAAAGTCGTGTAAAAAAGAGTCATGAAGGGCAGTTCCAATAGATTACAGGCGATATCCCCACCCTTAACTTTTGGGGTTTTATGAATAAGAATGATAAGTAACGTAAATGAAAGGTTTGATCGAGTTTTATATTCGGTTTGTTTTTTAAATAAATGGAACTGCCGACCATTTAGTGTTTTGAAATTCTTCAACCATTTAGACATTCATTTTTTTTTTTTTTTTTCAGGAATTGTCCTCTGCTAGATTTCAATTTGACGTATTTGGGTAGACAGTAATATGTTACTTAAAAATAGAAAAGTTTCACTATTCTATGTTCTAATATTTTAAAAAGAAAAAAAGAAAAACGGAAAAAATGAGCAAAAGTCTGAGTAGGTATGATAATTAGGTCACCCATCCAAGTGCTAACCCTCCTCAGACGAGCTTGACTCAGCATCTTGAACGACAACGATTTATCCACTGGACCACGGTTCCAGGTGAATCAGCATAACAATAGCTGTGAAAACAATGCACCGAATAGACTAGACTTTTTAACATTATTTTTTCAACCGATTCCGTGCGTGGCAGAGATGCAAGGGATTAGCCGATATGGTCTGGGGGCCGGCTGGTCTCTCCCCTGATGCTTCGGCTAGAACATTTTCTTGCTTAATTCGTACACCCAAGGGCAGAAGGATTTAATCGCCGTCAGGTCCGAAGTCCATACGACGCCTCAGCTCTGCGGATGTCTCGGGGGTATGGCAAAATTGAATCGTATTTTTGAATTTCTTTTGGTGAGTTCGAATCCCATCTTATCCACATAAGATTTTTTTTTAAATCCATAAAAGCAATATCGAACCGCGAAAAGTAGAGCTGTGCGTTCATGTGTATTTTTCCTGGCAAAGTTTACTGACAAGAACATTTACTGCACTTGGATCTCGATATCGCATATACCCGCAAAGGACTAGTGGGTGGTGCGCGAAGACTTCTGGGTACTATTGCGCAATATCTGCATTTTTTGACAAGGAAAATAAACAGCCACCCCAGTTTGCCATAAAATCATATTCTTAGTCACTTTAATTTAGCTATTTCATGCATACATATTCCTTGAACAAGATCGCTTTGTTGCCTAATAGTAACGATCAAAGGTAAAGATTTCACGTTAGTTCAAATATCGCTTGGTTTTTACTTTATTATAATGATTTTAATGACTACTAGTACTAGAAGTGCCAGTAACTTATTTTTTCACTTATACCAATGTCTTTTATCCCTGCTTTTTAATGGTCATTAATCCATTTTTTTTCTCAATAACCGAAGGTCGCACTTAATTTGCACGTCATTATATTTTTGCGTCACTTCATTTTTTCGCGCACTTTCATTTTGAGCAAATTGCAAAAATCGCGCGAAATTAAGCTCGTTTCGCGGAAATTTCACGTAATTTTAAGGTAAGTTTCTAATATGAAGTTATCAAAGACAGGCAACGCAACTATGTACAACGAGGCAAGAGGAAGGTGATCAACGAGGCGGTATTAGGCAATAATCACCCGCATCAGTTTGAAATTTCAACTCTCTTAATTTTTCTCTTTTAGTTTTTGGTTATAACCCACATCTACCATGGAAGAGAAGTTTGCTAATACAAAATGAAAATGAAAGCTTGCAATACTTTGACAAAACTGTTTTTCTTTCGGATGTCACACCTTCCACTTTATGTCTATTTGTTTCACCGTCTTCTTATCACTGCGTGACCAAGTATCATAATCTTTCTTCTCGTACGTGACTTTACTAGTAAGAATTGGCAGTGGAGCAAATGTCACTCTTTTGACCTGGTGGCACAAAACTTCATTTTTTTGAAAGACAGGGAACTCAAACTGTCTGGTTTTCAACTCAAGGACTTGGTTTTTTTCCAACGAGTCCTGTTCTTTGCTGTCTTTTCTATATTTGACCATCTTGTCAACTTTTTCTTCGTCTGCAAATAGAGAGTTTCGAGATTTGATGACTTTTTGTGGCACCAGTTTTGGTGAATACACAACACCATCCTGACGTTCGTTCATCTTGCTTCCAATGTCCTCGACCACTTCTCCTTTTTGTTTTGTAAACTTACTTTTAGCATTTCCTGATTTAGAAGTACTTTTTCCAACATTTCTTGGCCATGGGATGTCATTCTTTCGTTGTTGTTCCTTTTTAATGCTCAATCTAAACGAACAAGTTACTAAGTATTTTTTTACTTCATTATCAAACGTCTTGCCTAGCAAACGACCTCTTTCTTCACCTGCAGTTTTGATTACAGCAGACATTTCAGTGTTTTCTTTCTGCTCAGCTTTTGGAATTAAATTTGCTTTGCACCCAAGAACTCTAGCAGGTACACTTTTCCTAACTTGTTTTGTTTCTGGAAAATACACACTGCAAGTATTGTTATCGGTAAATGACATTGTTTGTTTCTTCTCGACACCTAAATTCGACGCCTTCTTAAAGTCAATGTCTTTTATCTCTTCATATGTGCTTTCCATGCTTTTGTACATCTTAGAGTCTATTCGTCGCCTGTTCATTAAACGTTTCTGTACTAACAAATGCCGAGGCCTTTCCGGAAGAACGAAGTTGTATCGATTGTTCTCTCGTGCTTCATTGTATTCCTTCGTCAGATGATATCTCCGTTCTACAGGTTTTCCCCTTTTTTGTTCCGGGCTCCAAGGTTGTTTTATTTTGACTTCATTTATAAGGCTTCCTTCCAACCTTAGACTTCTGTCTCCTTCACTTAAAACTTTATCATCAAATACGTCATTGCTATCTTCACTTCTTAAAGTGGATTCCCGAAGTTTCTCTCTTGAAGCTCTCCACTCCATTTCTTTCGTCCACATGTCCAAGCTTTTTTCTCTGCAAAATCCATTAGATTTTGGACGAACGCTTCGTTTTCCCTCGTCAGGAAAAAGTTGGAAGAAAATCGAAGAAAAATAATCCCAACAATCGAATTCAAACTCATCATGATTGGGAGAATTCGGAGGAACTCTTCCATGTTCTCTCGTATTGTCTTCCAAAACTTTCGGAGTTGAAATATCTTTTCTCTTCGAAGTTTCCTCATTTTCGAGCATTTCAGCTCTTTTCTTATAAGTTGTGAGATCCTCTACATTGTCTTCAATGTTTCTTGACACGAAACATTTGTTTTTTTCTCTGCTAAAGGCCCTTCGTCTTATATCATTAACTCCAGCTTGTTCCAAACATGCATCGGGAGAAGTTGGTTCTTCTCCTGCTGAATTCATTATTTAATGTTTCTGGCATTGACTTTAGCGTCTCAATAGGTAAAGGTGTCGTTTTACACTGGTTAAATGTCAGCTTTTCCTATTCATTTAATGTTTTTTTCTTTGTTTACTAACTCCATCAGTCACTTAAACAATTATTCTCTGTCAACAACACATTCAATGTTGTCTTTCATTCTTTTATTTTCATTTGAATTCTCGCCGGTAATTAACTCATAATCGAGCTAAAAAAAATACTAGAATCTACTAGAGTCACTCCTTGACCACGCGCGCAGTAAAAAAAAATTGATAATCATCAAGCTATTTTCTACGCTAAAACAATGACCATTCCTAACCTGTACACAAATAAAGCCAAGACCGCAAGAGAACAGGTTCTTTTTCACCAAATTCCGAAGAAGACAAGTCACTTTTTTCATAAATAGCCGATAGATAAGTTTTACCATTTGAAAATTTATAAAGACCTCACTGAATAATGATTGAATGTCGATCAATGCGCTTACCGCAAATTAGAAGTTTGAATATAAACTTTGAAAAAGAACTATAAGTTTCTGATTTGATTTGGATATGATTATCCGTTTAGTGATAAAAGTCGTAGTATAATGCTTCATTCTATAATTTTTCTACTGCTTCATAGAATTCTAAAGACAAAAATTACAACAAAAACAAACCTCAATAAAAATAATCAATAAATTCATTGGAAAATTTACGTCAACATGAGTATTCAGCTTAAACAATTTTGTTTAATCTTAATAAAGTGAGCTTTGGGACAGCTGTCTAAGTTTATTTAATTTACATTAATAATTTCATTTGGACTAAAATTGAGATATTTCAGTAAAATATCGGAAATTTAGAATGTTGGAAAAGTGGCGAGGCTCCGAAGCTTTTCGATCTTTGTCCGAATTTCAGCCCCACAATCCTCTACGGTGCGTGCTAGTCACCAGTTTTTCTCGGAGTTTTGAAAAACTTTAAGGTTTTGAATATCTTTATTGATGATGCTATTTATTGTGATACTACTCAATGTACATTTTTATTTACAATATCGTAGTTTACTCTGTTACTAAGTATATTCGACTTGAAAATTCAAATCCCTTTAAGAGAAAAATTGACCGAAAACTTCGATTTTACAGGCCTGCAAGACGTCAGTTACTATCCATTATTTCCAATAAGGCCACAAAATATGAAATGAAATGAAATATTTAATGAAATACCTACAGCAACGAAAAAGTGGCGGCCATAATGGATGGCTCAATAACTAGCGAAAATTTGTCCAACATGGCTACAAGTACACTATAGATTTGAATAGACGATAAAAACAAAATGCTCTAACTATTTATAGTGAATAATGTTATATGACTTTTGCCATCGCCTTGTTCGGCGGACTTTTAGAAAATAATCCCTGTTCCAAATAAACGATTATGAATTCTTTAGAAGCAATGTAATGCGGTATGGCCGATGAGAATCATGACAGAGCATACAATGATTCACAATGGGCCTTGCTCACGCAGAACAATAGATATTCTAGCCTTTCTAGCCTTGCATTCAAGTGCTTGAGAATAAATTATGCGGGTTAAGCAACGGTTTTTATTCATATGACAATAAAAATGGCTTCCGTTTGAGTAAGGCCCATGTCTGCCACCATGTGAATATTCACACTTAATTCAAAGTCAAAAGCAAGACCTATTCGATTTTCGAATGTCTGTATTTTGCTTCCTAAGAATCATTGGAGCCTCCTCGTAGCTTTTTAAGATAAATAACTTTGATCTGCGAGTGCTAGGAGTTGGAGAAAATGATGTTGTAATCAATGTTTGCGCCAGAGGTGTCTGATAATGCTTCTACGGTCCCAATTGGCAGGCAGAACATTCTGTCCTTCACAACAGCTCGAGGAGCATGTTGGGGCACACGAGTTAGGACAGTTGGGGCTTGGGCAGGTTGCCAGTGGTGGTGGGGCACAGCATGTTGGAGAGCACGCTGGAGCGCATGTATTTGGGCATGAGCCAGGGCAGGTTGCTGCTTTACCTAGTGGACTTAGGCCGGGGGAACCATAATGTGCTGGGGGCACGTGCACCACTTGGGGTTGTGGGACTGTTAACAGAATGAAATAGATAATAATTAATAATAAATAAATGGGATTTAACAGCGGCACCTCCACAAAGTAGCTTTTCATCCACTCAATTGCAATTGAAATTTAGAAGTTGATTTTTGTTGAGGGAGGAAAACCGGGGAACCGAACAAAAGACCCCAAAGCACAGTAAAGAACCAACAACAAAATTATAATCACATACAACACCGAGTTAGTTGAACATTCAATTTTCCCACTTAAAAACGAATCCTCAATTCGAGTGCAGTGTGTATTGATACTTTAGATAACGATTTTGGTGTTGATGCCGGTAGAATTTGTCTATTGAATCTTACCTCCACAACACGTAGGACTGCATATGGGCGCACATGTGTTGGGACACATTCCAGGGCAGGTGCTAGCAGTTCCCATTGCTTGTAATCCCGGTGATACTGCATGTGAAGATGCTGGAGGAACATGGACAACCTGAGGAGCTGTTTATCCAAACGTAGAATTATGATTGGTGTTGTGTCTTTTTCTGGGGGAGGGGAGGGGAGGGTGAGAGACATTGTTTAAATCGTCTTTACTAAACGCTGTGAAGGAATTAATTCTGTGTCATCTGAAATAGTAAAACTATAGCCCAAGTAAATACTATAGTTTCATATTTAAGGTTACTGAAGCTCACGTCTGCGTGAAAGATGCCAGCAGCTATCTCAGCGCGCGCAATATCACAGCTCATCCAATCAGAATACTTTTAAACATTGGCTTTTCACGGTCACGGTTCAAYCCCACCGTGCATGTATCGTAGCCATAGGAAAATCAATTTACCTTGGGCCTCAAAATTTTACTATTTCAGACAACATGTCATTCTCATGAGTATTATTTTCTTTGTTTGAATTGTATCCATATTCAACCCCACCGTGCATGTATCGTAGCCATAGGAAAATCAATTTACCTTGGACCTCAAAATTTTACTATTTCAGACAACATGTCATTCTCATGAGTATTATTTTCTTTGTTTGAATTGTATCCATATTCATGTGTCTTCTCATGCGCAACCATTAATCAAAGAAACGATACTCTAGGGAATGTCACGTGGTCTGAAATGCGAAAAAATTACGTCCAAGGTAAATGGGTCTGTTTCCCATAACGACACTTACCATCGCAACATGATGGAGAACATGCCGGTGCGCAGGAGTTAGGACAACTAGCCGGACACGTGGCGGGTGCGTTTCCCATCGGTGCAAGCCCAGGAGATACCATATGCTGAGGAACATTAGGTTGGGGTTGAGGAGGAACCGGTAAAGCCATTACTGGAGGTGGGATGAAGGCTGGTTGAGGTGGAATGAAGACTGGTTGAGGTGAAGGTGGTGATTGGTTGGAGCAACAGGCATCGGAACAGCTTGGGGCACAGGACTGTGGGCAAGGCGCTGAACATGTTGCTATAACAAGGAAGAAAAGTAATACACACCACTTCTGATAGATTAATTGTCTTTAATGATCGGCTTCAGGATTGGGCTAGGAATAGAGAAGTCTAATAGTAGTCATTTTTTAAGACAAGACGATAGAAACATTTCCTTTGAAAAGAATAATTTCTTTGCGTTCAAGACCATTAATTTCGTCCTACAACATGGTTGTGATAGTCGTGCCCATCTGAGCAGTTTTAGTAAGAGTGGGGAACGATACGGCAGATTCAAAGCCGTACTGTAGACGTACCGTATCTTACCGTGACCGTAACTACGATGCATTACTGGAAATGCCGGGAAAGCAACATTTTAATGTTACGGTTTGTCGTACCGTGTATATATACTTCCCACTAATACGAAAAAAGCTATTGTACTTAACTTGTTTTTTGTCCACGTTCAAAAGAAGATCGCATTGTTATTTATAAACAGTATATACCCTTCAATTTGGAGGACAAAACAAAGAATTTGAATCACCTGAGAATTCGAAACCTATATGGTTCTGTCCTCCAAATTGAGCTGCATTCCGTCGTGCTGCAAGGGGTCTATTCCCTTGCATGTGACGTCAAAGAAGCTCAATTTGGAGGACAAAATGAACGGATTTCAATCTGCTGAGAATTAGAAAACCATTGTTATGTCCAACAAATTAAGCTGCAGTCCGACGTGCTGCAAGGGGTCTATTTAACTAAAGTACTTACGTGGTGTTGGGGGACTCTGTTGAGTGTAGGGACTTGTAGCATAATAAGGATTCTGTGTCATTCCATAACCCTGTGTTGAAGAGCCAAAAGGATCCGTCATGGATCCGAAAGGACTAGTAGTAGGTCCTGTGCAGGGATCTTGGCCTGCACAAGGATTACTTGCTGAGGGTGTTGCACCAAATCTTGGGAATGGAACCGCCTGGGGAGAAGCAGCTGGGCGGATGTAATACGTATCATTCTCTTTTTCCTCGTCTTCTTCTTTCCTGTAGTTTGTAGGTTTGTTGGCTTTAGGACTCTTGTCGTGGTGTTTCGCAACGTGTGGTTTTGGTTTTGGTTTTGGATCGTCGTCGAAGTGTTTGTGCGATGGCAAACAGCATTCGAATTTACATTTTTTGTCGCAAAGGTTTTGGCACTTTCGTATGCAGAGTGAGCCGTCCTTGACATGAGAGGTTTTATCTGCAGGCTTGTGGGCGGGCTTGCGAGCAGGCTTAGGAGCATCTGAAGAGTGATCGTGAGAGGTGGAAGGTGGTGGTGCTGGAATGTGCGCACCGGGAACCATAGGTCGGACGTTAAGCTGCACTGCCTGAGATCGGCAACACTCTTCATTAAAAAGAAGAAGAAAATTATATTAAAACTGGAAGAGGAAAAGTGTTTGTTTTACAAAAACAGTTTAATAYAGTCAACTTAATTATTTATATGACCAAATTTCATTTTCCGGGCAATTGGCACATTTCCAAAGAGGTTTTTGCAGTAATTTATACCACTGTTTTCATTGCTACGCTCTGATTGAGACAACAATCACGACAAGGAAATCGGGCAACATATTACCGTTCAACTAATAAATTGTTCGGTACCTTTGCTTACTCTGATTGAGACGGCAGTGTAAGTCCAAAATAGGGCTTCTGCACAACTTCATACCTCTATTAAGCGACCAAGCCCTATTAAGCAGCCACTTGAAAGTTTCCCATGGACCAAGAATAACCGCTTAATAGAAGTCAGAGTGCATGTCGTTTTAGTTCCCTACCTGGAGTATTAGCAGGGGCACAGGCCGGAGAACATCCTTCATTGCTTGCATACGGGTCATACGGTGAGGGATTCAGCCCGTATGCTGAAGGAGCAGGTTGATATGACTGTGGTGAACAACATCCCGGGTCGCAGTTAGGATAACAAGCTGGGTTGCATCCAGCTGGGCAGGCAGGAGGAAGAGCTGGTGGATTGCTTATTCCTGCCTGGTACTGGACGAGTTGAGGGAACATGTCGGGTGAGTAGTTGGGAGCGCTGAGGTTGCAACAGCTTCTCTTGCAGGAAGGAAGACAGAATTTGTGACAACCGGGATGACATGTCCATGCTTGGCCTGGAAACAAGAACGCTTACACTGACAATTTATTCTGCTGGGATGACACTGTGAAATAATGACAGTGTGCTTCACTTTAAGCTTTCGACTTTCTCTGGATTGTTGGTCACGTAAGAGGTTGTCACGTTCTACCGTTGTCACGGGCTTTTGGAACGCGTGACTCCAAAATATACAATTTTGATGCATCTGGTAGATTTTTTCTTTCGACACTTTTCGAAAACAGGTTTTAGAGGTTTGAACTTTTCAGTGAGGAACTGAAGACATATACTTACGTCCTAAGGGGTTTAAAACACCAAGATATCCTGTAGAAAAGGATTAGTATTAAGTGTTATTAGTGTTATAATATAAGTAAATTTTTTTTTCTGAGTGACTTTTATTGATGATCAGTGTACTTACGTGGACTGCGCTTTGTCAAAAATGCTTCAGTGTGGTACAGCGAGAATACAACTACACAAGCGATGAGTAGATTCATCTTGACTGATTCTCTCCTGCAGAAAGTACGAAAAGTTAAGTGCCATGCAAGGATTGTTAGACATATCTGGTTATGCCAAGAGAATATGGGCTGAATTTGGTTCAACCGTACAAATGGGTACGGCAGACGAAAGTACGTGTTGTTGCGGAGATTTGACTATGTATAAGGGCAGAATATTCAACCCCCATCAAAGGAAAACAAAAATAAAAAGGAAAATAACAAACAAAACCCGGATTCCCAGCTCCCTAAAATCCCTTTCATTTATAAATTTCCTTGAGTAAATATTTTCTTTCTTAAAACATTACCCTCTCTTTTTGACCCCACATCCCGTGTTAATAATGGAAGATTTCTCAGGACATTGCTACGCGCTGATCGACAAACTCTCGCGAGTTCTCTCTACCGCGAATCAAAAAAATATCGTTAGATTACTTGGTAAGAATTTCAGTCTTTCAGTAATGGACCTAGTCTACTGCCCATTAACCTGACGCCACTTTTGATTCGATCAGCGCGTAGCAATAAAAACAGGTCTTCAAAAAGAATCCAAGGCAATTGGTGTATACGAATGGCACTGCCAGATTTGTCAGTGTAGAAATATTGAATATGTTTGCTTGGCATATGATTCACTTACAAGGACTTGGCACTCAAAACGATGGGAAACTTGTTAAACGCTCAAGAACTTTGATTGTTTCGATGACATTAACTTGTTCAAGCGAAGAAAAATGACAGCCAGCAGTAAACACAGTCGAAATTATAAGTGAAAAATATAAAGAATCTATTAGAATAGTCTTTGCATATATGCTTGATTTAGTCTTCTCAAAATTTAAAATACGGTCTTTCCATTTAAAACTGATACGATTGAGACAAGGCGAGAAAAAAGCAAGTTTTTGTAGTTGAAGTTGTAGTTGTTACGACATTACAGCCAAATTGACTTTCTTTGGTTTGGCTTGTGTCATAAATAAACTTGATGTTTTCTCAGCCCTTTTGGCTTCCTGATCCGATAATAAGATTCAGAACATTTAAAGCAACAACGGTTTAAATCCGAAGCATTTCTCACCTTATTCCCCTTGAAATTCAAGAGAAAATCTCCAGAGTTTCCCGTCTTCAAGATAGAGGAAGATAGAAGACACTCGACTTGTTCCGCTTCAGGAATTTACTCATAAAACACATCAAATATTCAAAGGGTCAGAGGAAACTACCCGTTGGCCAAACTTGCCTACACACGGTCACTTCCCTCCTACTTCAGTATCTCAACATTGAACCAAGAATTCAAATTTATAAACGTTCATATTTCAGTTTATAAGTTGATAATATATATTTATGTAGAGGTTTATTTGGTATTTAAGTTTTATTGGTTTTAGTTTAGAATTTTGTGTTGAATAGGAAAAAAAATTGAGAAGAATGATGTCATTGGGTTGTTATGCACTGAGAAGGTTGTCGTACATAGGAAGGGTCGTGGATGATCATGGAGGATTACGACCTCTTGAACAACAACCTTACTGCTAATTTCATTTAACTGACTTTGGCTTTGTTCTATACAATGACGTAAATAACTTTCTTATAAATCTATTAAAACGTTAGCAAAAATTAACACTGCCTAGCCCAAAGCCTTTGTGAACGACTGTAATATCATAATTGTAATAAATATCTCTATTCATGTTTCGTAATAGGCTTCAGATTTAAGCGCTCCTATCTCCTATCCAGTAGTAAAATTGAGGTCCATAGCTAGATAAAACGACAAGTCATCTTATCATTTCTTGTCTCGATAATTTTTAGAAAACAAATAAGAACGCTCCCAACGAGAAATGATCCCAGATTCCTTTGCGATACGACAATCTCCCCAGTCCTAAACGTTCCTTAAGAGAATAGAAGAGCAAGACTGTCTTTTTAAATGAAATGTCAACCTCTTGGTACCCGAATACAGCACTTGAATTTACAAGAAGGATCACAATGAATGAGACATTTTTTATCACAGGTAGTTCCTTTCTCCATCTCTTCTTTCGACACGTACAGCTGATTCTCTTTTGAGCCCAAGATGCTCTTCTTGGATCCAGTCTCAGCTATTTTCTTGGCTGCCGCGACCTCCATTTTGTTGATCATGTGGCGGTTGACGCCTATTGGTCTTTCTACACAGCAGGCTAGGTTACATGATGGTAGACAGCGGTGGATGCATATCTCTGCGCATGCGCCAGATCCTGACATGAAAAAAACGCCAGGGAGAATAAATAATAGAACAGAATGTGAGTAAAGTGTGTTCTTAGAAGTAACTATATTTAATCATTAGTAGTTAGTTCCGTCAGTTCCAGTTCCACTGCTATCAATGAAAGCCGACTTTATCTCTCTCTAATTTTGGGTGGAAATGACGTCAAAGCCGCCATATTGCATAATTTTATCTGTCAGTGCCAACTAACATGGCGGCCATTGTCCTTGCGCATGCATATAACGTCATATAGCTACTATATTTGGTGATTTTACAAAAAGATTTGGTCTTGGTGTATTTTGTTATGTCATCTAACATGGCGGCCATGGCTTTTTACCCATGTGCATGTTAGTGGAATGATTGCGCGCCATCATCATTAATCAGTTGTTCAAAGCTTAGCAAGGTAATTGCTCACTTTTAGCACGTCCAGCTTATGATAAAGACTTACTTCTAAATCTTGTTTCTGTTTCCGAGCTTCTTTTATTAAATGCCTCTAAATCTGGGGAAAAATTTAGAAAAATTAGCTTAGGCCCTACTTTCCCATTGCGCACAGTGAGAGATCAGATTTGGTGACGTCATTAGACCTCTTTACCTTCTTTATTTGTTATCTCATTTCAGACCATGCGATGCAACTCTAGGGAGTCGATTCTTTGATTTGTAAATAATTTAGCCACGATGTTCGACAAGAAACATTCTCAGGGGAATGTCAATTGGTCTGAAATGGGCAATAGTTCCCTTCACAGTTCCCTGCGCCATCTTGAAAGGTAGCCGTGCCTTTGCATCGAAGTGAGACAAACGGTGAGCTTGCAATGATAGAGACATGTGAATAATTGTCCAAGGTGTCTCTATCAAGCTCACCGTTTGTCTCACTTCGATGCAAAGGCACGGCTACCTTTCAAGATGGCGCAGGGAGCTGTGAAGGGAACTATTAAGGTAAACGAAGGTGAAGAGGTCTATTGTGAACCCAACTATCCTTGGCCATTATTATAAACCACGTGCTCTGTAGTATACCTTTCTTTAACTCCTGGTTTGTTATATTATGAACTGTCTTAGCATGCAACGTCATGTATTTGTTGTATGTTGAAGTAAACTCGTTCTCCATTTTTTGTATGTCTTTAACGAATTGAGTCGTTGACTCTCTACTGTTAGAATTCATAGCTAGAAACAAAAACATTGCACGTATATTGAGTGGTGAGATCGACTCACTTTCTCTCTACCTTCTGTCTCTCTCTCTCTTTATATAGGTTTTAGTTTAAGAAGAACACGGATGATCAAACAACCACTCTCACACCATGCTGAGCCCTGTTATTCTTACTGCGCAATGCTGCGTCAAGCATGCGCAGTAAGATAACACGGCTCTGGGTTCGTGAGTGCTCACACACTTTAAAGCGACTGAGAAATGGTAATGCGCATGTTCGAAAAATCGATAGCAAAATGGTGGACGCCGAATTTAAATTATTTTCATGCATTTAATTTTAGTTTATTAAACTATTTCTGCAAGAAATAGCTATAATCTACCTAACTTATAAATCTCTGTTTGGATGATCTTCCTTATTTTAATAATTCTTGAACCTAAAAATTTTCCCTTACCTTGAAAAGCCTTTGTATGTTGTAGTGCTTGTAAATAATAAATCTGTACTAAAATAATGACCAGGAGTGCTTGTGATTTCATGATGTTATAGAAAACCTGAAAATGGTATAAGTTAAGGGTAAGTAATAGAAACTATCCGCGCTAGAGCTTTAATGGTGGTTAAGACTGGGGCAGCTAGAACTACATGGTGGCCATATTGGAATTTATTTAAGCAAGGCGGCGATGAGAATCATCTGCAATTACGAGCCTTTTGTATGAAACGACTGAAGAAGGGGGCCGAAACAGATGTCCACGGTTTCTAGTTGAGCCGGCTCATTTTTTACGCGACTTGAAGTTGTGAAAGGCCCATTGGCCCATTTCTTCAGTCGTTTCATACAAGGCTCCTAATTTACCTATTACGCGTGTACGTTCTTATGCAATCAACTCGCCACGGATTGGCATGAAAAGGAAAAGAGACAGAGAGAATTTATGGGGGAGGGGTGGGAGGAGGAAGGCAGGTACTGTTAACGTTCAACAAAAAGGCAAGTATCGTAAAAATTAGACACCTTCAGAGGAAGGATTGCTCGTTATAATACGTTGCTCTGTTACAAAAATATAACGCTGTAAAGTAAATCCATGAGAAAGTCTCTTCACTGAAGCTGTATAATAGTGTATTCATCTATGAGTATATGATATCAAGAGACCTGTCCCAGCCTTTGATTTTAAAGGAAGCTTGGCTGAATCGGTCATCGATTGATTGTCTGTTAGAATGCGCTATAAGCATGTACAGAAAAATCAATAAAATTATGTAAGTTGAAACAGTACTTCATAACTTGAAGCGTTAACGTTCTAGTTAACAGCATATCATTCAAGTAGCTTCCTCTTTTGTTTTTAATGGGACGAATTAAGTTGACATTGAATACGCTGTAACTACAGACATCAGACTATCGTCACTGAGAAATTATTTACTAGTCAACTAGTATACTTCAAATATCCTTTTCTTACCTTAGGATCGAGATGAATCCCTAACGTACAAAGGCAAGTTTCCTCTCGGTGTTAAAATGGATGCTTTATTGTTTGCTCTCTCCCTTCTCTTTCTTCGCGTCTGACGATATCACTGTTGCCGTTGAATGACTACTTAAAGATCTTCACTTCGAGATTTGGGTTATTAATGATTAATGATGAATTGAACGAAACAACTGAGTGAATGTTATGGTTGTCTTATGACTCGCTTGATCGTCAAACGTTAACTTATGAAGTGCGATTGCAAATCCATAAAGTTCTTTCTAAATACGTATACTAAGATTATTTGGTTTACAATTTTGAACTGAGGATTGTATAGTCGCGTTTTCTTGTTGTGTTTGCATTGACAAGTTACATTTAGACAAGATAGAGATTGTATTTAGGATTGACGGGTGATCAGTGAACACTAATGACACCTGAAATGCCACCGGCGATAAAAACCATAAACAACAAGCAAAGTACGGGCAGTAAACCCTTGATTAAAAATTTATTATGACTTTAATACAAATTTTCCATGCACAAAATAGGGTACAGACGACGTGCCACTTGCCGTGACCGTGTCATGTTCGATCGAGTATTGTCATTGGTTGTGCAGCAATTTCATGCGCTGTGATTGGTTAAGAGAATGACGTCAAGTCCATTATCGACAGTGCTATGCCTTTTCTCAGTGATACGAGTGCTCTATTTTAAGTAGTTTGCCCTAACTTAGGAAATGTGGAACTGTGAAACGGGTACGGCACACGGTAACGTATAAGGTAAAGTATACATCATCATCATTATCATCATCATCACCCTCACCCTCACCCTCACCCTCACCCTCACCCTCACCCTCACCCTCACCCTCACCACCACCATCATCATTTTTATTATTAGTGGAAAGTAAGAAGCCTTTGATACAGCACGATCAAGGCTGCCTTTGCAATTAGCCTACAGCCATGATTAACCATTAGTTCCAACACAAAGACGCACCGAAAAAGAAACAAAATATTTCACGTTTAATTTTATTAAGAATCATAAAACACACAGCACTTGAAATAATCTGTAACATTCACGAAAAGTTTGACCTATTTTAGGTTACTTGTACGCCTTTTCTCACGCATGCATTTTGTCGCTGTTAGTACTAATATTAGTGTCATTTTTGCTTAGTAATACTTAGCGGTATTTGCATTAAACTAGATTAAATTTAAATCTATAAGAAGATGTTCTTGTAGACGAGAGCACAATGAATAGCTTGTGTTGAGCTTTTCTTCATGACGAGGTTACATTAGTAATGTCGTTTGTGATGTCTGTGGTGCTTGCTCTTCTTTGTCACAACTCTGTGATAATCAGAAACCGACGAAGTGGCTGCCTTCTGACAAATCTTGCGCCCGAAAAAACTATCCAGAGAAAGTAGGAAAAAAATCATTTGATTTAATAAGAAAAGGTTAAAGAAAACAAATATTATTTACAGTAAGGGAATGACATGTAATATGAAAATAAAAGCAATGGATTCGGTCCTTTCATCCAACAGAACCATGGTGCATAATTGAGCAAAACAAAACAAGCAAAACACATGCCAACAACAACAAAAGCGCACACAAACGACAAAAAAAAAAAAAAACCAAACAAGCACACAAACAAGCACGACACACGATAGTAAAAAACAAAAAAAACAACAACAACAAAACAAAAGCAACAAAAACAACAACAACAACAACAACAAAATACCAACCAACTAAAACGAAACAAGCAAAAGATTAAAAACAGGAAAGAAACAAAAACGAAGCAAAACTTACCCCACAGTCCTACACACCAAGCTGCCCTGACAAAGCTGACTGTCTTCATCATTCTCGTCCTCAAACACATCGAGCAGGCGTTTTCTACCACAAGTCACTCCTTCTTGTAGCTTTGCAATGCATACCTTGGAATATCGACTGATATCATTCTGAGGGAAGCAGCCAGCCTCTTGTCCTGCACTAGAATGGCAATCTTTGTGGTCATCGCAGAACGTTCCTTAAATATTACATAGTGTGTTAAAATAAGTTCGAGAATATGATAGACTTCTTTAACTTGGGGATAATGCGGTAGTTTCCCATCTCAGACAACCTGTCATTTCCCCTGAGAATGAAGATTCTTCGTTTGAGTCGTATCCATATTCTTCTCGTGCACAACCGTTAAACAAAGAAATAATACTCTAGGGAATGATTGGTGGTTTGAAATGGGGAAACATTACGCTCAACGTAAAGAATTCTATAGGCCCCTTGTACGTCGGAATACAGCTCAATTTGGAGGACATTACAATAGGTTTCCAATTCTCATTATATTGACATTCTTTTGTTTGCTTCCAAATTGCGCTGCTTTGATGTCGGATGCAAGGGGTCTATAGAGTGTGTGCAACCACGTAACTCAAAATCCCTTSAGATAGGAATAACAATGAAACAGCCGCCATCTTGGTCGATCTAACGAGAGAAGCTAATGAGAAATGCTTTGTTATCGTCAACCAAGATGGTGGCTATGACGTAACATGCACATGTTCTATTGCTGAATTCTACTAACTTGACGTCATTTGAATGTTCCTTAGCTGAGTATACTGGGATTGTTTCTGGGAGGGAGGAAAACCGGAGAATCCAGAGAAAAACCATTGAATCAAGGGAGAGACCTAACAAACTCTACTAACATGTGATGCTGAGTACAGGAATCAAACCCAATTTAGACCCAGGAGAAAAACCCTCGAATCAAGGGAGAGACCTAACAATCTCTACTCTCATGTGATGTTGAGTCTACTGAGAAATCAAATCCGAGACCTAGTCAGAGGTGATAGGCGAGTACACTACCGCTACGCGACCCTTGATTCCCCTATAATATGCTACTTACCCAAGCCACCAACATCAGAGTTCACGATACACTTTCCCCACGTGCACTGCAGGTCTCCTGATTTCTTGGAGCATTGATCTTTCTGTGAGCATGCTTGTCCTTTGCCTACTTGTTTCTTACAAACTCCAAAAAAGTTATCACAGAATTGCTCTGCCGCGCAGGGCTTTTTGTCTGAACATTCCTAGGACAACAATCAACAAGAGAAGAAAAGTTAGAGCAGTTTTTGTAAGCAACGATACGCCGAATTATTCGCAACCGGCGTACCGCATCTTATTGTAGCCATAACTACACGTTGTGATTGGATGAGTTGCTGGAAAGACCATAAAAAGCAATTTCAATGTTACGGCATGTCGTACCATGTACGTGCTGTAAGTCAGTACCGTATGTTTCCCACTCCATTACGATAACCATTCTTATGGGAGAACATTTCAATGTTACGGCATGTCGTACCGTGTACGTGCTGCGTAAGTCAGTACCGTATGTTTCCCATTCCATTACGATAACCATTCTTATGGGAAGCAATTTCAATGTTACGGCATGTCGTACCGTGTACATGCTGTAAGTCAGTACCGTATGTTTCCCACTCCATTACGATAACCATTCTCATGGAAAGTCATTTCAGTGTTACGGCATGTCTTAACGTGTACGTGCCGTCACTCAGTACCTTATGTTTTCTAGGAATTTCCTCTCGCTATAAAAGCTGTTACATAACAAAATCAAATAAAAAATAAATAACTTAAACAAATGTGACTTTTGAATTCTATATTGAAAAGTGGTTTTAAAAAATGACCACACGCCATTGGTCTAGTGAGCAAGTCAATGGAGTGATGCAATGGAGAAAAAAGAGACAAAGGTCAAATCATTATGTCCATTAACTCGAAGTTTAAGTGCTTAAAAGCCATTAGATAAAGTCAAAAAAATAGCTCACAGTTCGGTGGACTGGCAGGTACCAGAGCATTGTTAGTTGCTTTCTCTGGTGAATTTTAAAAATTATGGGAGGTTCCAAGCGGCAGGAAAAACTGAATATAAAAATATTCCAGGCTTAAAAGCCCATTTGGAAAAATTCAAAGAAATACATAGCTCATGGTAGAGTAGACCAACAGGTACCGGATCTTTCTTTCTAACTCTCTCTGGTGAATTTTAAAAACAATGAGAGGTCCTGAGAGGTACGAAGCTGGATGACGAAAGATAAATGAAGTGAACTATTAAACTCCAGTTACTAATAAAAATGAAATTTTTGTTTTGCGAATTTTGGGCATTTTTGCGAATAAAAAAACTAACCCCGTGCTTTGAAAAGGTTTTGAACACTACTACCACTACCAATAATAATATAACGTTGTTAGAGACGCATTATACAGTGAAGTTACTCTCATGACAACAAGAATTGCAAGTGTGTGAATTAATATCTTACCTTACTAGAGTCATCATTGAAACCTTTGAATCCACCAAATACGCTAAACGGCCTGAAGATACTAAATTGAGTCTCCTTGATTTGTGGCAGTGTGATATTCTTTCCTGTCCCATTCTTGGCCATCGTTGTTACCGATTTGATAACCTTCTCAAACACCTGAGGATTTGTTTTGTTCCCAGAAGTAGTCACTGAGGTAATAGTGTAGGTCTTGTATGGGCCGTGCGTTGAGTTAAACGTTTTTGTTTTGGTCTTCAGTTTTGCATCTTTTCCATCGTTAAATGTAAGTTCAGATGGCTTTACATTGTCTTGTCTTGTCAGTGCCTCACCTCCGAATACAGGGAAGCGCATAGCGAAGAGAGGAACGCGAAATCCTGTGAACATATTGTCTTTTGGAACAGCATCGTGTTTTTGCTTTTTCTTTTTTGCTTGGACGTTGACAAACGCCAAAAGAAGTACGAAAAAAATTGCAGTTTTCATAGTCTAAAACAACACCGTTTATCTCCGTAAGTACACGTGTTACTGCTAGCAATACTATCTTCAAATTCTTCAGGTAAATATCGAAAGATCTCTCTTAAATACCATTGGTTCATGGTTTCCACAGGTGGTTTCATACATTATTCATAGAAAATGAGCTATTTACCTATTTACCAAACGTGACTATTTTTGAAAAGTCTAATGAGATTTGATCACTACAAGACACTCGAGGAAAAACACAAAGCCCTTTTTCTCTTGTAAGTCGAAATAAATATTTGAACAATAGTTGTGATGGTTATATAAATGAAGTACTAAAAGCAACGAAGATTGTCCAATTCTTGCGCTGATAAAATAAATGGATATAAGTCGAATGGAAATGCATGGGAAATTAGAATAAGATTTAGGTCACTGGAAATGGGAAATAGAAATACCAATATGG